CGGAGGTTTGTTTACGGGCCCGCCTTTGCCGCGGCTGACTTCTCGTAGGTCTGGGCGTTCGCGGGTGCCCGGCCGGGCCATCTGAAGTTAGCTGTCGGAGGAAGGGGGGGCGCTCGGGATCTCTAGTTACTCGCTTATTTATAGTCTGGATGCTCCCAAGTTTCGTACGGCTTCATCTGGAGAAAGGGTGACGGCCCCCCTGCTCGCGGAGAGCCAGAGTAGTAACGTTAGGCTCAGCGTTATGCCTGTCTCGGGCTTTCTAATGGTTTTAAACTGCTCACATCTCCTGTTACAGAGTTAGAAGAGCTAACTCGCCGTGCGTGTGTGTTTGTTTTCAATACACGTTTTACTATAAAGCCAAAATTCGGACTTTCTGGAAGTGCAAGGGCCTGTGATGATTTAGGTGTTTTCTTGCTGTCTCTACAGAAATGCGGTTTTTCGGAACTGTATTCATGGCAAAGGCAAAGGAAAACAAAGCAGGAATTTTGTCTTCATGATGGACCACCCTATGCCAACGGAGACCCTCATGTTGGCCACGCACTGAATAAAGTAAATATTTACTCCTTCATACGGTACTGTTTTGAAGTGGTAAATACTTCCCATAACGTGCTGCGTGTTCTCCATTCCCATTTAAATCAACGACACTTTAAAGCGTTCGGTATTTTGGGCTTTTAAAAAGCAAATGACACGGTTACGTAGATACCATATGATGCCACGGTGACATAGATACCATACCATGACATAAATACCATATACCAGTATATGGTACCTGTATGCTGAGTGCTCATTTATGGGGCTGAATGTTTCGGTAAAAAGAGAACATTTTCTTTTTAGAGAAAGTCCAGCCTTCGTTCCTAAGCAATATTAAACGCACAGTTTATTTGTGTACTGAACGTATCACACATACACACGTGGGTGAGTTTATATTTCTCTGTGTATATGTTATAATGTTACTGTAATGCATGGTTGAGCTGTGCCTTGTTATTCTTTTTTCCTTTGGGTATTTTGCAAGTTTGTTATATTGCATTTATTTTATTTTACTTTACCTGGGTATTTTCAGTGGAACCACAACGGCTAAATGTTGATGGTTTTTAAAATGTAAATTTCAGCTTCGAAATAATACTCCTAAGTATGTTTGGGTACGTTTAGATTCAGTCCTAAGAGCGACAGCATTACATGTGCTGCAAAGTGGGAAAGACTAAAATGTGACCCACAGCTTCTGAAGGTACTAGCACTAAAGCGTGGACTTCTGAAAATGACAAGTTTTGGTAGGTGATCACTTATCTCAAAAAGCAATAATGTGCACTAGGCCAACACTGTAGGTCCGGCTCAGTGTTTTAAAAATGAGAGCAAGTAGGATTTGTTTGCTTCAAGTCTCGCAAGTTTATAAACTGCATCTTTCAGCCACACTGAATGTGAATTCCTTTGATCAGAGGTCCTCTGAGGTTCTGCCAATATACAAAATGATAGGCAAGAAAAAGATCATAAATGGATGGTCTTAAATGTAAACGTATCATGCAGCCTTCTATATTTGCTTTTTTAATAGGAGGATCTTAATTAATAATGTAGCTATTCCACATGGGGGAGCTAAAGTGATAACTGACCCTTGTGTCTTTTCAGATTTTGAAAGACATCACTAATCGTTTCTACGTGATGAGAGGTTATAAAGTACATTATGTGCCGGGATGGGATTGTCATGGGTTGCCAATTGAGTTGAAAGCGTTGTCAGAAGTCAAAGGAGCTGAAAATCTTTCACCAATGGAAATTAGACAGAGAGGTAAACTACTGTTTGCAGTATCTTTATAGAAGAAGTTGGCTTAAGTATTTGTACATCCTACTCGGCATATTTTGGATTTTATGCTTTATAAATAGCTTTTACGCTTTATTGGGTGCTTTTCTATTAGCTGTTGGTACCATTTTC